AGGATACCTCCCTCCCCAGCCTTCCCCCTGCAGCCCCCCCCCCTTTGAAAAAAGGGGATGGCTTTACAATTAAAACAAAAAATAAAGAAAAAATAAGCCCCAAAACAAAGAACCAATGACTAGTTACATACGGTTTTACACATACATACATAGAGCACACAGCTGGTCCACAACACCCACCAGAAAGCCTGGCTCCCTCCCGGGGCCTATTTCCAAGGCAGGGCTGGGCTGGGGTGTCCTGCTCTCTCTCCCTTCCCGATTGCCTCTCAAACCCACCCGCTGCACCCTCTCCAAATCCATCTCTGAGACCTTAGTGCCGGCACCCAGGCACTCACCGCCCAGCCGTATCCCCCTCTCCAATTTTTCCCCCTTTACAAACCCAGACCCAAGTTCTGTGCGCCTGCCCTTCCCCTGTTCCGCTGCCCGAGTGCTGCTGGCCGGAGGGTTACCCAGCAGGGACAGCCCACCGCTGTGGCCCCTTGCCCTGCCACAGCCTCCCCGGGGATACAGGGCCCTCCTGGGGTGCCTCGGCTTCCTCTGCTCCGTCCCTGGAAGCTCTGCAGGGGACATGCTCCTGAGCAGGGGAGGCTGCAGCTCTCTGGTCTCAGAGGCCACCACACTGCTATGAGCTTGGAGACCTGGGAAACTCTCAATTAGGAATTGTCATCTTTTGCCGAGATGCTAATAAAATACAGCTCCTTCAATTTGTTGTTTTTTTTTTTTTTCTTTTTTTTTTTCGGGTGCAGCGGGATCCTTCTGAAATCACTTGAGAGATGACCAAGGACAGCAGCTGTTCTCTGCAAAACAGCACCAAGCTCAGGGCAGAGAAGTGGTGATGGGACTGTCACTCCCCAGGCACCCTGCCTCCCCAGCCCTTCCCTCTCTAGAAACACCCCGGCAGCCCAGCGGGGCTGGGGCCCCAGCTCCAAACCCCTCATCCAGTGTTGTTTCCAGACTGTCTTAAAATGCCCCAGCCACGTTTTGCTGCCAGGAGAGATCTGCTTGGAAAGACCCTGCAGGAGCAGGGGGAGATGAGCTTCCCCATCTCCCCGTCTTCTGCCTTCGGGGAGCTGGCACCCCGCAAATGCCCAGTGAGTTAGGGCAGGACTGCACAGCATGGGGCTGGGAGAAGTCAGCACACGGGGCATGAGATCACCTTGGGAAATGGAGAAGTCAGCACATGGGGCACGCGTTCACCTTGGGAAACGGATCAGTATCTGTTTCTTGAGTCCTGAAAATAAAAGAAAAAACAACAAAAAACCAGGCCAGATGGCAGCTTTGGTTAAGGCTGAGGATATGGGAGACAGGGACAAGCATGAGGGACTGCGTGGAAGAAGTCGGGGCTGTGGGGAATCTCTGGCTCTGGCTGGAAGCATCTCTGCTCACCGCAGCCTGTGGGCAAGCTCTCGGGGTGGCCGTAGGGACAAGACAGGGTTGCCTTGGCTCTCCGCCCTAGTGCCAAAACCTCTTTTGCAAAACACAGGCTCCGGGAGAGCTGGAGCTGGGGGAAGTTGGCACAGGGCAGGGCTGGCTCTGCAGGGCTTGCGTGTCTCTGGTAGGCAGTGCCGGGGCCCGCTGCAGCCAGCACCGCAAAGGAACCAGCCGAGCCTCTCTGGGCAAAGCCACCAGTGGGGCCATCCTGTCCTCTCCCTGTGCCCGCTGCTTCCCCACCGTCCTGCCTTGGCAGCAGGCACCGGGAGCAGCTCAGGCATCCTTGGCCAGCAAACACTGCCTGGAGGGGAGGAAAGCAAAGCCAGGCAGGGGCAGAGGAAGGGGCTACGGCTTTGGAAGAGGCAGGAGGGGGTCAGCTGGACCCTCGAGCAGGCACTCCCGGCCAGGGGGAGAGGGCAGTGCTCTGGCAGGCTGCCTGCCTCCCTCCAGCTCTGCACCGTTTGCCCCTTCCCCAGTTGGGAAAGGCAAAGGGAGCTGAGCCAGATCCCTCTACCCTGCCCAGTCCCCCGGCAAGGAATTAAAAGCCGTATCTTTCCGGGGATAATGATTCTATTATAAATAGCCCCATTAGCTACAACTAATGACAAAAATCCACCTCCTCTACTCCCCATAAGTTCTGTAAGTTATGAAAACAATGCTACAGCCATTACTAAAAGCTGTTAACTTCATATCTGAATGAGGAAATATACACCACAGAACATTAAACCATTTATATTATATATATGTATATATATACTTTTTTTAAACTAATGACTTTAATGCCAAAACTTTGCTGAACCAAGAAAAATATGGGTTTAATGTTCTCTGCTCTTTTTTTTTTCTTCTTTAAAAAAAATACAACCCAAAAAAAAAGAAAGGGAAACTTATTAGTATGTAATGTTTGAGTCTATCCCATTTATACACAACATTGTAAACATATATAATCTATATTACATGTGCTTCATTTCTGCCTGGGTGTGTTTTTTTTTTCTTTAAACCTTTTTTTATCACTAGAACACCACAAAAAACCAAAACAGAACCAAACCAAAAACCAAACCAAAACAAATAAAAACAAAACAAAAAAACTGAACAAAGAACACAAGTTACAGGTTATTTAACATCTTTCTGTCAAGGGTCCCTTCCCCAGTCTCCTGGGGGCAGAGTGGTCAACAACACAGTCCAAAGGAGGGCTCACGAGCCATCCGCGATGCAAAGCCAGCTCCAGGGAATGGGTGGATGGGGAATACTGGTTTTAAAAAAGGGGGCTTCACAACAAAGGGTTTGGTTTCGCCCGCTGCAGATGCTGAAGGAGGTCTCAACATGCGGGACCTGGGAGCTGAGGCTCCATACTGCTCCTGTATCCTCGAGTCCATGTCTGGAGTCTCTGGTTTGTTTTTTCTTTAAATTTTAAAACGTCTTTTTTTTTGTTGCTGTCGTTCTTCTCCCCCTTGGTGTGATAAGCTGAGCCAACTAGCTGGGTCCTGCCCTTCCGCTGGGTCCTTCATAAGTAGATGCGCCGAAGGTCTCCGGGAGACGTGATGGTGTTACACTGGGGACAGAGCTTCTTGGCACCCTGGAACCGGCAGACGAGATGAACAGCGTGAGAGAGCGAAGTAGGACAACTCGCATGGCCCTGCCCTTGGCTGGGGATCTCAGGGGGAGCAGCACAGGAGCAGGGGCAGCAAGGCCACCCCACCTTCCCCTTCAGGCAGGGCCATGCCCTCCCAACAGCGGGCATAAGCTGTGAAAAGGGGTAGCCCCAATGCCTTTCTTGCCTGCCTTGCAAGCCCCTCGTCCCACTCCAGTCCCCAGCACGAGGCAGCCGGGCAGGCAGGAGCTCTGCAGGAGGCTGAAACCCAGAGACAAGGTTTGTCACGAAACTCAGCTGCTGCAGGGAGAGGAATCTCTGCAGATGGATCGGCCCAAGCACCCTGTCCCGCTGCACTGTCACTGCTGGCTGCCAGGGAGATCTGCTCCTTTCTGCTTCCCTTGCTCATCTGCAGCCCTTGATGAGCCAGTTCAGGTCACTGAGCAGGCAGAAAACCAACCCAGCTGGAACAAGTGCAGTTTTCAGTTGGGTTGAACCATCCCTTTCAGGGCAGCATCCTGGGGGACTGCCTCAGCCATCCTGCAAAAGCCCCAGTGCTGCTGGCATGAAGGAAAGCCCTGTCCTCTCCCCCCACAGCTTGCAAAGATGAGTCTGTTCTGCCAAGGTGAGCTGCAACCAGCAAACTGTGATGTGAGATGGGGTGAGGTAATGGGCGGCTGACATGAACACTACAGGAAATAAAACAAGGGCTGATGTGCCATCTGTCACCGAAACTGACAGCAAGAGGGTGTTAATAAGCCTCAGAATCGGGGTCAACCTAAGCCGGTCATCATTAGATTGGCAGATGTGACAGACAGCTGATGGGAAAAATGACAGAAAGATGGCTCTGCTGCAAGGCAGCCTCATGTCTACAGCACCAACAGCGCAGAAAATTGGGATGCCCTGGCTTTCAACACCGACCACAGGCTCAACACGACCTCCTACCGCACAGAACAGAGCATAAGCTCTGTCCGAGCACCCTGATTTTTGCTCACTGCTGTCAGACAGGCCCTTCTAGCAGCTAATGCCCAGCGCTTGCTGTCACAAGCAAGCTGACAGGGATGCAACGTGCCCTTTGAGTGCCTTCCAGCTTGCAAGGGACTTGCTGGCAAAACTGAAGCCGTTCGGTTCAGTGATGCTGCTGCTCTCCCTTAGCAAGGCTTGTTTTAGTACCTGCAGCAGTGAGCGTGGCATCTTGCAGGACGTGGACCAAGTGGCAGGGCAGGATCGTGATCTGCCACACTGCTTGGGTACTGCTACCTGCATTTGGGTACACCCTTAGCAGAGGAGCTGGCACTGCTGCTTACAAAAGGCAAGTGCTCTTAGAAAAGGTCCTCTCTGTGACAACACCTGCAGAGACAGGACAGGGGCTTTCTCCCCTGGAAGCTCCTTGGACTAAGGAGAATCCAGAGGAGAGAGTCCAAGGTACAGAAAATTTACACAGGTGCAAGTAATTCACAAGATGCAGCTCCAAAGAGGTGAAAGTCATGTTTGCTCTGCAGTATTGAGGACTCCTGAAAAGCCCCGGCAGACCAGCCTTGAACCAGCTCCCTCTCTCCTCCCAGTGCACATTATTCCTGGCAGACGTGGACTTCGCACGCTCGCTGCTCCCTGAGCTTTGGACTTCTGAGCAATCAGACTCCCCTTTGATACCCCTTGCTGCTAGTGGCTGAGCTGCTGCCCCAACACACGTGGAAACCACAGGCACTTGCACTCGAGATCAAAACCAGGGACACACAAAGTCCTGTTGAACTAGAGTTGAATAAAACACATAATGGACACTCAAGACACCTTGGACATCACTCTCAGGGCGAGTGCCAGACTGGCAGCGGACAGACCACTGGTGGTCTGGATGGTGTACCCAGCTGTGGTGCTGACGCCTGTGGGCACATCCTTCTAGCTGTCAGCGACCTATCTTATCCCCTCTCTAACTACTGCGTCCGTTTAGATTTTCAGCATTCTGGGGCAGGGACAATCTCACTGTGCCTGTGCAATGCATCGGGCAGCCCCATGCACTGGTCTTCACAGAATGGACTTGGCACGCTGGATTCTGGGAAAAGCAAGAACAAAGCACAACTAGAAGGAAAGGCTTAAAACCCTGATGAAATTGAAGACTGACTGCACTGGACTTTAACAGAGCCTGTTTATACAACATGCCCCTTCGCTTGTGCTCAAGACCAGAGCTTTGGATCTCCAGCATCAGAAAAGGGCAAGCTCTAACGCTGCATGACCCAATAAAAACTTCCTGCAGCAGCTACAACAAGTAGGAGAGAAAAATGTAAACATTTGCCCTTTCTGCCACCTTTAAAGCTATTGTGGCTTGAGTTCATTTTTTGTTACAGGCTGCCCAGAGAGGTTGTGGAGTCTCCTTCCCTGGAGATATTCAAAACACGCCTGGATGCAATGCTGTGCAACTTGCTGCAGGTGAACCTGCTTTGTGCTGCCAAGGAGGGGCTCACTAATCGGGATGCAAATGCCACAGAACAGCGTGTTTCAATTGATTCCCTGCTAAGGCCTGCACCGCCATGCAGTTCCCTGGTCCTCAGAGGCGCCTGTTGCATCTGGTTGGCCTCTTGGCATCATCTCTGTAGCTGGAGGGTCCCAGGGGAAATGGTAGGGAGGCGCTGAGGAATTAATTCACAGCATGTTACCAAAGGGGCAGCAGTTGGCAGCTGCCCATTCCAGCTTTCCTGTGTGCCCTGACAAGCAGAAGTAAGTGTGCATGGGGACTTTAAGGCATTCCAGATGTGACTACTGCACACATCTGTGTCCAAGCTCTCCTCCCCAAGATAGGCACAGCTTATTGGCAAGAGGCAGCAAAAGATCCAACCAAGCAGCTAGAGATTCTGCCTCTCTGGACAATGCACCAGCGAGAGGTACCTTCTGCAAGACCAGTCCCCTGACCCATCAAATGCCTCGTCCTGCCTTCAGTCTGGGGTGAACGATGAAGGAAAACGCTTGCTGCCACCTAAACCCATGCCTCCCTATTCCTCAGTGCTCCTGTGCAACGCTGAACAGCATTTCAGCAGTTATTTTCTTTCACCTCTGCTGAAGTTGGAGATGTTTGGCTGCAGGTGGGTGGGGAGGAGCACTGAATCCCCTTGAGTTCATTTTTGCTAAAAGCAAACCTCAGCTGCTGCCATCTCACCGTCCTGCATCTTGTGCTCCATTCTGGGATTTGGAGGTGGACTGAGGCAGCTGCAGACAGATGCGTGTGACCCTTAGCAAGGGCAACCTCGCTAACACAGACTAGACAGCTCAATGTGAAAAATTTCAAAAGGACAGATTCCTGGAAAGCCGCTCTGTCCAGGTCTCTCCCAAGGCTGTGCTGGTGGTTGCTATAAGCACAAGTCCTTCGCACTCAGCCCACAGGATGGCAGAACAAACCTGATTAAACTGACTGCAGCTTTGCTCCTCTCTTCCGTGGCAAAGCAAAATCAGGTACGCAATTCCTTCACACCACAGGGAAAGAAAAGAGGAGTGGATTTATCCTGCCAGACCCCAGGATCTCTGTCCTGGACATCTGCTTTCTGCACCACATGCTGATGGCTTTAGGGAGATCCACTCTCCCCACCTAAGGCTGAGCGCTGCACATGGGCAGCCAAGGCCAAGTTTTCGACCACGCCAGAAGGCAGAACCTGACCACATGTAGCTTGACCCATTTTCTGCAAAAGTTACATGACCACAGGTTGATTCAGGGCAGTGGTGGATCTTGCTTCACCTGAACGTGGGAAGGGCAGCTCATCTTGAGCTCTGAAGCCTGAGTCCCTTGGAGGGAACAACGGCATCCCAGAGACCTTCAGCAGCCTGGCCTGAATGCTGCGTGGGCTGACTGCATGTGGCAAGTTGGGCCCAGGTCTCTGGGTCTCCCTAGTACTTATGCTTGGTATTAAACAGTTCAAGTAAAAATAATGACTTTGGAGCCTTGGGGAAACTTTTTTTTTTAAAAAAAATAAAACTGTCATCCTCTGCACACATAAGCATGTGTGTTAAATTCAGAAGTCCTGAATTTTTCTTTTTAGATTGAAATTGCCTAGAACCTTGTTCCTTACATCTGACTTTTCAGTGTAGGTGTACAACATTTATTGGCACTAGCGTTTAAGCTCTCCTCTCTTGTAGAGAGGCACACAAGCTTGTACACACACACACATGCTGGCACAGGCACAATGAAAAAGCATTTGCTCCCCCACTGCTCACCTGCCAGCTGGGGTTACTAAACTTTTCCCTTGAAATAAAAATGCTGTGGAATAATAAGTCCCACCTGTCGGCTATTTCTTTCTTTCTTTTTTTTCCCAGGTCCTTCTGCTCCTTTCATCATAGCTTCATGGAAAAGCCTTGATGTGTTATAGCTGCGTGTGCTAGAGTAAAGGCCACCTCAGCTTTTCCATTATAAACCCCAGTTTTGAGGGGTTTATAAAACTCTGCTGCAAAAAGTTTGCTCCAGGGCTGTTACAAAGCAAAGAAAAGGGGCTGGAACCAGGATGGAGTTTATTTTTTCTCCTCCTTTCTTAATTAAAATTTGGCAAGTGATTGATCCACAATACAGGCTAATCACTTGGGGTAGTAGTTTGAAAAATACATTAACGAGAGCTGAGATGTTGAGAAGTCGTTAGGGCTCACATGGTGCCAGGAAGGATTGGAGTATTTTGTCTTAAAGTTGCCTCTTAAAAAAAAAAATGGCGTGATGTCTGCTATAAATTGGCTAAAGCAAGAGAACTCAAAAGGAAGGATTTAGGCACTTCCTGCTGTCCTGTGGGTCTAAAACGGGCAATTTCCAAGCAGAATATGCTACCAGGCAGAGAATAGACAGACACACACACACAGAGAGAGCAACTTCACCTATGCAGTGCCACCATCACACCTGGGCTCAAAGCTTGCCTATTTTATAGCAAGGAAAACCAAAGCAGAGAGATGAGCGGAGGGACCCAAACCAAGAGCCAGCTTCTGCCAGGAGAGGAATTGAACTCCAAGACCCAATTCTCAACCAAGGCAACAACCCTCTCTCCCACCCACGCCTCTGCATGCAGTGGCAGCTGCTTCTCTGCACATGCTAACTTCCAGAGAAGCAGCCATTCACCACTGCCATTGTGGGGTACCACCAGCTGTCAGGTAATGGCATTAAAGCAATCAGGAGAGTAACCTTTTTCAGAGAGCTTCCTCAAAGGGTGGAGCTCACTCCCACAGGTTGTCGGAGGCCAAAAGTGAAACATGTTAATAAATAACCAAATGACCTCATAGCAGATAGAGATGAACATCATGATGGATCAAGCGCAGCATCCTCCATGCAGCTGCTGACTCAGAAGGTCCCTGTGTTGCTGGAAGCACTAAGGAATCAGCCAGAAGGATTGCTGTGTATCTGTGCTGTTTGTTACGAAAATACTCCAGCCCGCATGGGATATACAGTATTATAGCCTAGAAAAAGCGACAAGGCTAAGAACATAGTAACGTAATCTACCAAAGATATAAATGTGTCAAATGCAGAGCATACGTCTCTATTGATGGATCCCCTGGAAGCATATTCTGTGATGAAGAAGGCTTTTTAGAAATAATTTTTTCCTGCTCTTGCAGCTGTCATTTTCAAATAAGCCCAAGACAGGCAAGCACAAGCCTGGGGTCAGCAAATACACATAGGAAATGCTGGATCTGGCTGTACAGGTAATGGGGGAAAGTTAGCAAACTGCACCTGCTCAAATAAACCTGCCCTCTTTCAGCCCCTGCATGCCTGCACCCACCAACAGCTCCATCATTGGCAAACAACAGCCTGACTTAGCTTTTAACTCCATTTACTTTGTAAGGAAGGATATCAGGGTTTGGGAGACCACAGAACTACAGCTCAGAGGGACGTCAAGAAGTCACTGACCCATTCCCCTGGCAAGATCACCTTAATCTGAATTACTGCTGACAGACACGCATCAAACCGGTTCTCACAAACATCCAAGGATGGAGGTTCCCAACCTCCCCAGCAAAGCACTGCAGCAGACTGCCAATCTCTACTGTCAGAGCACTCTTCCCAGGACAAAGAAAATCTGAATCTCACTCACTAGTAGCTGCAGGGTCCTTCTCGGTCAATGGGGAAGGGTAGAGAAGGGGCAGACAAATCTCTTCCAGAGGGCGATTCATCCCCCATCACCCAGTGATTCAGGGCTGCAGTCCAACAACCAGTTGAAGATGGACACCCGGCGCAAGGACGGACAACAACGACGTTCAGGAAAATGAACCCCACCTCCTGCTGCCCAGGCTAAGCAACACCATTTCCTCTCCTGTCTTTGAAGAACCTGCACATGTTTTCAGGTGTTTCCAAAAGGGATCACAGGGAAGTCACTCCAGGCTTGTGTTCCAGTTTCTGTGTAACTTGAAGATATCAACTAGCTCTCTGCATGCAGGATGGATGGATGAATGAAAAATGTCACTGTGTTGAGTGCCCCAGACAACCAGCAAGTAGGCAGTAGCAAGCTCATCGGTGTGGTTTAACACAGCAATATAAAACCAGCAGGCAAACCCAGCTGACAGAACAGTTAACATGATTTCCTGGGAACCCAGGCATGATCATACGGTATCAAGCAACAGGTTCTTGTATCCCTTTCCCTGTCTCCATTCCTGTTGTGCCTACAACTGGAGCCGCCCACAGCATATGCAGCGTACAGCACACCTTGAGCCTGTGGCCCCTGGACCCCTCAGGCAGACCAGTTCTGCTTGCAGAGCAAGTGGAAGGAGAGAAAACCACTGAACTCATCACATCCTGATGCTGGGTGAAGGGATGGTTGCTCCCTTTCTCCACGGCCACCCTGAGGAGGACCATCTAACCAAGCAGCTTCTATTGGCATTGAGGCGCTGGCTAACTCAGTGAGCACCACTATCTCAGTTCTCTTAAGCCATGTCCAGGGTCCCTTTCTGCAACCTCAGTCTTTCATTCACATTAATCCAACACAGCAACAGGAGACGGAGATGGAGCCTGCTCTGGTGAATGTTTCATCCCCAGAACTTGAGGACAGTTTGACGCTCTGAGCTCTAGTACAATGGTACCTAAACTAGGGAGCCCAGCAATCATTTGTAGTCAGTGGTTAAAAATGTCTCCCCCTCTACCTGAGCAACAGAACAGTTATAATTTGGAATAGGACATCAAGAGCCCAAAGTCCAAAAATTGTATTTTCAGAAAGCCTAAGTGCTTTAAAGATCCAGTCCTCATCAGTGCCCTAGACACCACCAAAGTCAGAGGATACTAGTGATGATCAGATCATTTTAGCATCGTATTCTAGAAAATGTTTAAACCGTAAACCTTTGAAAAAGCACTTCATCTCCTCTGGTCCATAGACAGATGTGAGCATCAGACTTCACCCTGTCTTCAATACCCTGCAGAGGTTTAGAAGTGCTCCCAGACACTCCGAGCCTTCAGTTCCAGGGCCTTGTTCAATACATGGTGCTCCCTCTCTCTCTCAGACACACTCATGCTCTAATTTAATATTAGATCTCGGCTGGGCATATAAACCACAGGCACACAGGAGAAAGGGGACTTTTCACCAGCAGGGATGGCAGATCTCCAGAATGTTCAAAAGGGGCCGGAAGCCCGACACAACCCACCCGCCCCAACTCCTATTAACTCCAACAAATTGTTTATTGCACAACAGAAGAAAAATGTTGCCCCTCTCCCCCAGCCAAGCCTTTCCATGTGTGCTGCACGCGTAGGCTGCCTCCTCCCGCCCCCGCTGGGGAGCCAGCTTTATACCCAGGGAAAGGTAACAGCAGCGATTATTACACACACTATCCCACAGCTCCTCGCTTGTTAAAAAAAACAAGAGTCTCTTTTGTGCCCGAAATAAAAGGAGATACCTTAATTAGAACAATGCAGGTTGGTGAGCATTAAACACTGAGCCCAGCTGCTGTATGCCATTAAATTCATAAAAAAGGAGGGGGGAAGGAGGGCAGTCTTAACGAGATTACACACATTGACTTTGATCAAGACACAAAAGCACCAAGGCGTTCCAGGGTTTTTATTGCTGTCTTCGGGCTACATTTTAATGGTTACATTAGAAACATGCGAACACAGGCTGGGAGATTTTTTTTTTGAGCCGGGAGAGGGAGTGTAAGCATGCCTTGTGAAAAGGCCTGGTTTAATAAATTGAGGGTTGCAGGGAGAGGCTAGGACTGGGGAACACATGAGTAGCCACTTATTAATTGCTTCCCCTATGCAAGTGCCAAGTCCTAAATGTGATGTCTTGGTGGACTATTCCCATCCCACCTGCCTGGTCGGCAGAAGAGCCATGTGCGGATAGCACACAGCCAGCTCCATCCCCACCTTCCTCACGGAATTCTAGGGGGGAGGTGGCTCCCCCTCTGCAAGGGTAAATGCCAACCCCTGAGCACCTGGAGTGGGGTTTCCCCGTTCTCACAAGGAGCCATGACCGCTGCACGTGAAACAAAGGGGCCTGACTGAAGTTGAACTAAGTTGCTGCTGAGTGTAAGGACAGCCTAAAATCGGTGCCACAGATTTAGAAGATGACTTGAGGCTGCTGGGAAGAGGAGAGGACAAAGACTTCAGAGTAAAGAAAATGAAAAAGAAATTAGTGTTTTATCCTCTGCTTGTAGCACTGCTGAAGGACAAGGTTACTCTTCACTTAGCAAAGGTGGCAGAGCACATGTTCATCCAAACACCTCACAGCTATGTACCCACATATGTGTCTTTTATAACATGCTGCTAAAATGTTTACAAAAGCTTGTATAATCTAAATAGTGACGGGGTGTAGCTGAAGAGCTATAAAATACAGCCCAAGGGACAGCCAAGTTATTGAGTTGCTATTAGTACTCGAGCCCACAGGCACTTCACCATCCTGGTAACTTTTCTTGGACAAGACTTTTAAAAGGCAGGATTTAAAGGAGTATGATCAGCTTAATCGTAATTCCAAGCACACAACGTGTTCTATAAAGTAGATTTTGTAATGCCTTACAGGAACAGCTTTTAGGAGTGGCATTCCCTTACATTTTTTGCAACCCAACACTGTATCATCTTGCTAAAAGGAGAACTAGAAAGCACAACTGACTCTTTTCCACTCCCTAACCTGAGTAAAATGAAAGCTTGAAAATCAGCTGCACAGGGGACTTTAAAGGCTGATTATAAAGCCCGCAGTTTTAACACAGGAAAGGAAAACATTTTATTTAATAACACCTTAAATTTTAACCTGATGTCCTTTAATGCATGTATAAATTACTACTGCAGTGGGTCACCTATTCAGTGTTCAAGGTAGTCCCCAATCTTCCAAACAAAATGGCAGATGCTTGAAAACTGCATGCTGCTATTTCAAATAATCTCAAAAATATAGATTCATATTTGTAAAAGCTCCCTTCCATATCCTTTATCCTGAAGATGATTCCCTTTGCTTCAGGGGAATATTAGGTTTCTCAGAAGCTACTCATTCCACAAAATCTCAGTGGATTTGGCCTCCATTCTCACAGCTTTACCTCTCTGCATGGATGCCCCACAGGAAATTACTGTAAGGCAAGGTTGTCCCTGGCACTGAGCTCTTACATGAGCAATGGCTGTCCCCACAGCAGCAGAGGAGCAAGCAAGGGGCAGGACTGCACTTTGGTCATGATGACGCAAACGAAATCCATTCAAGTCAAAGCTAGAGTCGAGTGTTAAACAGCAAGGCTTGGGAAGTCTGCATGCACCACACTCAGCTTGTTTAAAATAAAGCAAAAAGCACCTTTCCCTGTGGTGATTTAAAATAAAGTATCCCAGAAGAGAGGAAAAAGCCTGTAAGTCAACAAGAAAGTAGCCAAGAGCCTCACCAGAGTCCGCAGCCAGCATTCTTCACAGTGCACATGCCAGCACTGAATGGAAGTCAGGGGCATTGTGTAGGAGTCCTGAGGAGAAGCAGCAAATAGGTTATTTCCACAGCAGAGATCTACTGATTCTTCACTCCCAACCCTATCACAACGTCCTTCTTTGTGAATAACACTGCCTTATATTTTATATTAAAAAAAAAAAGCTTGCATAATACGTAAGTTTGTATTTTTGCAATGTTTGTGTAGTAGAGGCAGAAAGTCTCCTGCAGTCCCTTTTTCTGGCTTCCCAGAACTCCTGTTGGAAGCCCATAATCCACTCAAGTGGTGACCTGGCTCAGCACAGCTATCACAAGAGCATCTGAAGTTGCAGTGGCCACCTGCCATTATTCTTGTCAGCAAGGTCACCAGATCATATAAAAACCAGTGACAGGGTAAGATTAACCCTTATCACAACTCTTAGCTCTGCAGGATCAGCTTAACTACATCCCAAGAACGCTGCTGCTATTTCAGCAGACATGCCTTCTCTTGAGTATTTTCTACCATTGCTAATAAACCTCTGGAAATCAGCAGCAAGCTGTCATCCCTTCTGTCGGATGAGAGATAGGGACTGCACTCCCATACCTACAAGTTGTGAGCTGGGAGGGAGCGCACCATGCATCATGCTGAAGTTGCAGAGGGAGCCCTCTGCCAAGCAGAATTTTCTCCTGCTATCAGCAGAATAAAAACCTAACAGGAGCTGCAAGGCTTTGCAGGCTCAGACCATCAGAGGGAGCTGCTGCCCTTCTTTACGAAGGCCACAGCCTCACCACTGAGCAAGCAGGACATCGACAACTTTTAAATGGTCAGGCAATATTCCTCTTCCCAAATCATCTGGTGAGTCTCAGATCACAGATTCTACTCTCTCCTAAGTATGTAAATCAGGACATGCAGGAAGAGGACACTGCTATCTGGGAGTCTTCTATAGGAAGCCTGAAAGTCTTCTGAAGTTGCGGTGCTCTTGCCCTGATACAGATGGACAGCTACAAATACCAGTGGAACAATGTCATGCATACAGAAATTTCAATTGCTAAAAAGACTCAGCACCTTCATTTGGAAGGCTAACTGGTGTATAGGGACAAAGATAAGTTTCCCCACTCCACCTGAAAAAGCAGAAAAGCTTCTCCCCTCCTCGGCAAAGATACCAAGACATTTCTGATTCATTACCACAAGTGGAGTGCTACTCACCATGCAAATGAGACATTTATAGCGGTCCCCACGGGAAAGCTGCCTTTCTAACTCACGGACACGAGCCTTTAACGCTTCAAATGTTGTCACTGCAGAGTCTTCTGTAATTCTGTAAAAGATGATGAAAGAGTGAGCATCACTGAGCACACAAGATTGTTAAGAGTTTGGCGGAAAAAGGATCCCACAACAGGTACCACAACGGAAACGGCAACATTCGAACTGATACATCCAACTTAGAGTGAAGAAGAATTCCTGAAAAGCCCAGTGTAAATTCTTTGAGGTGTCTGCCTAAACATTTCCAAACACATCATGACAGAACACAACGGCCCCTGGGGTTGCCAGCTTCATATGGAGCAGGTTTCCGCAAGACACTGACATTTAAAGAACAGATTTTTTTGTTTGTTTTTTGTTTTCTGCCTCTTTTCTTGTCTCCCTTAAGAGATTCCTTAGTACCAAATGCTTTGGAAAAAGTTCTGTACATTGCTCTAAAGCTGGTGAGATAACTTTCTGTGGGCAATAGGAGCTGCTCTTCCCCTTAGAGAACAGAGGTCTTTGCTGGCCATCAACCTTGTGAAACACAGAATCAGCTCATTAAAAGCATGGTGTTGATCCTGTGTATATTAAAGAAACCCCTAGCTTTTTAGGTTCTAATACTGAAAAAAAAAAAGAGAAACCAAAAGTAATGGATACTGTGCCAACAGGGTGGCTATAAAAGCAGTTTTACAATCTCTGCTTTCCCATTTCCTAGGGTCATTTTTGATGGGCAGCATTATCTCTTTTGTCACAGAGGGGCTGAGCTGAGGGCAGGCAAGTGTATTTTCATGGTTCTGCAAGGCTAGTGAAAAGAGCAACTTGCCAACCTAAAAGCAAGGGCAGACAGCAATGCTGAGCAAATGAGATGTAGGGAGCATTATAGACAAGGATGTGTCACTTCAGCACGCTGCAAAATCCGATTTCTACACAGTACAGACACAGGGAGGGACCTTCAAGCATTTCCCAGGAAAGGTTTAGAGTATTGCATTGACATTAACGCTTTCACTCTTGCAAAAGAACCCAAAACAAACCAGCAATTTTCATGTATGTCAGTGAATTTCAGGCCTGTCCAAGCAGACTCCAGCTCAAAAGAACGTGAGGAGTACCTCAGCACCAGAAGCTGCATCAATCACAACATAACCCACAGTGGCACCTACGTGTTCTACCTTTTTAGAGGACGATTCATCAACAGGTGGCTAAAACATGGGTCTAGTGGAATTACTACAACCAATAAAGCGAGCTGCAATCTCAGCACTCCCACTGCAGGCACGCGCACACTCCTTTGTTCATTAGTCACTTGTCAACGGCATGCAGGGAGGGACCTGAGGTATCTCCCACCAGGTGATTCTGCTGCCTTTTCCCAAGACTCTGGAAACAGAGCTAGTCAAAAAGATCTTGAGTGATTTTTCTAATTATGACACTTCAGAAGAAACCGGAGTTGCAGGAGTGCATATAGTTAAGTATTGGTGTTATAAAGCTCCTCCAAATTCACTCCTACCTTTGTACAGATCAGACACTCTCTGCATGAGCTAACCGAGGAGAGACCTTCATCAGAACGAGATTCATGGCAAATGACAGTTGCTACAAAATGGTAACAATTTTAAAACTGCAAAAAAGGCAAAGAAATACATATGTCCCATGATAGCCTAGAGGGTGAGGACTGCCTGGGGATAGGGACACTGCGGATTCAAGTCTTGGTATCAGTAAATATTCTTTGGCACAAAATGAAAGAGCTTCAGCAGGAGACAGTGCTCCCTGCTGTGAAACACCCACTTGCTCCTACTCATTGGTATAAATTACTATCATACTCCAGCTTGGGTTCTCACCCTCAAGGAAGAGTTGTTAGTGTTTTCAATGAAAGTCTAGAAAGGTGTTAGTTTTGTCCAAGGAAGAAACAGAATTATTTATTTGTAGCTTGAAGATTCTTGTCAGATGAGAAAACTGTTTCCCTTCCAGTCTGGCCCATCAACAAGCTGATGCTGGATGAGGGCTGCAGTTGAATTTGACTTTCTGGAATCTACTTCTCCTTCCTGTCTGCATAAGGGCACTGGTGGTGTAAAGGCAGCAAGCATGGCTCCTGCCCATAGCAGGTGGCAAGCAGAACCTCAACCCTTGCTAAATTCTCCTACTACTGTCTGTGGAGCTACCCATCCTTCTCTGAAGGGCAGGCGACTCAGCAAGGAAAGGGAAAAGTTGATTCCTTGAGCAGATCCAAGCAAAGGCCAATTCATCCCCAGTCCTAGCCCAGTAACAGTCAAAGCTTGAAATGGAAAAATTTGACACTGCAACAACTAGAGGAGATAGAAAATGGCTTGTTTATAGAAGTCTAAATTGCTGACCCCCATTGGCCAATTTCGGAAAGCCTCTGAGATAATCGCACCTGTCCAGTAATAAACGAATGAATCAGAAAAGGAGGCTGAATAGAGGTATAAGCAATAATGCTCAGAGGCTGCCTGATACAATGGCCAATCAATAGGAGGGCTGTAGATCAGGGTGCTAGTTAGCTGGAAAATTACCGCACTGCTGCGTGCGTCACGCTGTAGGGATCCTGGACAATCAATGTGGGAGGTATTGATTTAGTTATTATCACTTCATACGCTCTAGACATTGTTAAATATACATTTATTAACAAGACTGGGGTGCATTGGTAAGAGAGGGAGCTTTAGCCACTGCAATATCTCCCAGCGCTGATCAAAGCTCAGCTGTGACAGACTTTAAACTCCATGTTCTCCCTGCCAAGCATGCTCTCAGGACAAATCCTGATGCACAGAGTAGTGCTGAAGACATAGCTCCTATCTCACAAGAGAGATGTTTTGGCCACGAGTGAGTATTTTGCACTTCAGATTTCAGGAAAGCCTCTTGGAGCAGCAGCAAGCAGGGACGTGGTGGCCAAGGGTCAACCCAAAATGAGCGATAATTGCATGGTTGCTTCCGAAAAGCCAGAGGAAATGAGGTCAAGGGAAATAGGGAGAACATTAGTAAATAAAGGAAACTGGAACTACCTCCAGGGATGGAATAAAGACAAGAGTCACTTCCCATGTGTCTGGCTCCCGTGGTGGCCAGCACACTTGGGACACATGCCATTCTATTTAGTGACATTTTACCGTCAACCTGCTGCTTGTATCCTAAAGATAAGCATCGCTTAGCAGCAACTCTTCCTGCAGCAGCAATCTCGGGAACTCCCTCAGGCTTCCCTCTTGCGTGCACACCTCGTGTGCGCTTGCCCGGACACAGCTGGGAGCAGCTTGGGCAGTATTTTTACAGGGTAACACCAGGGTGGAGTGAGGGTCAGAAAGCCAAACCCCATGGACAGGGTAAGGCTGTGTACAAGCTACGCTGCCAAGGGAGGCAGAGGGAATTACAAGGAAGAAGGAATTGGCTTCCACAGCCCTGCTCTCCCTTGACCTCATGCTGGATGTAGAAGGACTCTTTTAACAATTTTGTGCCTCAGCGCTCTGATTTGACGTGTTTGGATAACGTCATTTGTCAGCCTCCAGAGAGATCTGCTGAGCACAACTGCTGACAAGAGCAATTCCTTGAGCCCCAGCACTGGTGCTTCTCCAGAAGGTGTGAGCAGCCCCACCGATACCTAAATTGTCCTCCCTGGCTGAGGATGTAGTAAGAGGGCACATCTACACTCTAGAGTGTGGACCTACATCACCACAAACAGGGGAGCCTGAGAAAGAACTTTTATACAAGAGTCAAAACACAAAGGGAGGACTTCTCGACAAGGAAGCTTGGTCCTGTACTTCTCTCTCGACTTTGTAGTTAACTCTTCAACAACTTGGCAGTCACAGTTAAGGATGCTGGCTATCAGGGAGCAAGTCTATGACAGTGGGCAGACAGCACATGGTAGTTTTCAGTCTTTGTGCCCAATACATGTTTTTCTACTGTTCATAGCATTTTCTCCTGAGCAGTGAAAATAAGAACAAACTTTCTTCCTCTGAGCAAATCCTTGCTTTGTTCAGGTAAAAGGCCAGAAGAAGGGCACAAAAATACCATAGAAGAGGAAAAAGAACCTATCTGCAGCTTTGAGCTGTTACTCAGCAATCACCTCCTGGGAAATCTCCCCTGAGAACTTGCTGCCCCCCCTTTGCCAAAAACAAAAAAAACCCAACAGCAAAAAAACCCCCCACCAATCCAAAACTTTAACCCAAACACTGGTTATTTGTTAAACATTAGCACGCATGTGATCTTTGTTTCTCCAAATTAAATCGAGCAATTCCTACCCGCTGTCCCAGTGGGCAATCACAAGCAATTCCGTTAATTAAATTATCTCTGATTCTGCAGCTCTGGAATCTCTCAATTGACTAAGTCTGTGCTTTATCATCAACAAAATACCGGACCAAAAAGGAAACAAAAAAAAAAAATGCTGATGTCAGAGTGATTGGCTTCAGTTAACCCTTCCCAGCTGGATATCAAGGGCTGCTCAAGAAACTGTTGTTTCTTGAGAAAGCCTTGTACCAGAGATACCAGTAGCAGCTGTTCACTTGTCTTTCCTTTCCATTGCACAGAAAAAAACAGAACACCATACCATCACTGCATCCAGCATCCTGCCTATTTGAGAGCCACAGAAAGATGCAAACTGTTAGCTGCTGGAGACGCAGAAAAACACCTCAAAGATCAGTAAGCCCCTGTGAATACCCCATCCTCCCCTTACCCAGATCTCACTTGATGTACCCCGCTGTTGAGGAGTCTCCATAAAACATTCCCCTTTGGTTTATTTCAACTGGATATAAATTTTCCTTTCTTCATAAACGGTCACACTGTACACAGCATTCCATAAATTTTTACAATTCCACTGTTTGTATGTACCTTGTAAAAAACGCTTAGCACTGATTAAATGCACCACCAATAAAATTTCATGGGCTACTTTTGACACTTGATATTCTGACCTTCTTCTCTCTTCCTCGTGCATTTATTTTTGGTTTTGTATGCCTGTAAACATAAAGTGGCAAAGGGGAAAATGTACAGTACTACTGACAAACCCGAGAATGATATCTTTATTTTTAAACAAAGCTTTTATCTTCCCTTGTCCAAGGTGGAGAACCTGATCCCAGCAGAACATACGTGCCT